TGCTCGAGTCTGGAGAGGAGCTGGGATGCAGACCCTGAGGCTCAGCTCCTTCTCCAAAGCTCTGATTGAATTGGTCTTCTCAGAACCTGGGAATTTCAATTTTTAAAAAAGTCCTCAAATTATTAGTTTGGGGACAACAGGTTCAAAAACATCTCTAAGGCCCACCTTCCAGCCTGGCCTCGTCTGGTGCTACTATCCAAACAGACCCGGGCACCAGACAGCTTACTCACTCACTAGCTGAGTGACTTTGAGTAAGGTGCTTAACCTGAGCCTCAGTCTTACCATCTAAGAAACGCATGTCATAATAGTGCCTGCTTTGCAGAGCTATTGTTGCTAGAAGACAAAAGCAGGTTGAAATGCATGAAGTGCTTAGGACTATCCCTGGACAGAGCACACAGAACAGGGCGCAAACAATTACTACTGTATTTCATTGATTCAGAAGCCTCCTGTGCCCCTTTTTTAACAGGAGCAAGCTTTGCACATGACAGTGGTGACATTTGTACTAATGCAGTGGGTTTCAAGAGATTCCATGCACCCTGTACAACTGCGCCTGTCTTAAAGAGCACCTGGGAAATCTTGTTCTCCTTTGTGTCACAGCTGGAGGAGGACAATCTCAGGCTGAGGTTAGAGCACACAGTGCAGTCAGGAACTCAACATAGTGGGGTGGAGGAACAGAAGTGTGACCTTTGAGATGACTTTCCTTAATCACTGTGATTTGGTTATCAGTAATGTGCTTGGCCTCTCCAAGTGACTCCTTCACCCTGAGTCGGATGTCCCCACCCTCTTGAAGATAGATTGATTTCATGTAAGACCCAGATGGCAACTGTCTCCCAGAATCTTTCCACACTGGACATGAAGCACGGCGGAGTGGAAGGGCAACTCGGAGGGCCTGGGCTCACCCATGTGAAGCGCCCTGGGGTGGTTCATGTGGCTCTTTGTCCTGCTGTCTTATCTGCCTGGTGGAGGGGTGGGGTTATGGATGATGTCATTCCGGTATTTCATTTTCTTTCCACCATCATATATTTTGGCTTTATCAATATATACTATTATTTATTGTTTTCAATCCACTGTAAATGCACTCATTTAAAAAATAGTCTTATATGAAGCAAAAATATCCATGGTATACACAACATGTATATATGCATGATGCATGTGTGTACACATATATTCAGAGTACAGGATAAATGAGCTGCAGGTGGTCGTGCTTGCCTGTAATCTCAGCCTCCTGGGCAGCTGAGGCGGGTGGATCACAATCTTGTGCCTAGCATGGGCAATTTACTGACTTAACTCCCCAGGTTAGAGGGAGACTGAAGCTTCAGGCTGTCCTAGTGTGAAAGTGGAAGGTTGGAGTGCGGTGAGGTGTGGACACAGCAGATGGGAAGGCAAGAGAGTGGGCAACGTGGCTCCCGACACGGCTGCCACTTTGATCAGAGGCCGGGGGCTGTTAGGTGAGGACAGTCGTCACTGCTGAAATTGGTGGCTAAATTAAGGCAGGAGAGAAAGGAAAATGCCACGGTTGGCTCCTTTCTTCCCGTGACTCAGTCACCAGCCCATCCAGGTGGCCTTCCATCCTGGATGGGGTTCCCCTGTGGGGAAAGCAGGCTGTCCTGCTGGGCCAAGGAGAGGCCGTGAGGTCCGGACGGGGGACAGAGGCTGGAGCGCAGGGAGGAAAGGCCACTGGCAGGGAGTGTTTGCGCCCGTCAACAAGTGTGCTGTCGGGTGCCACGAGCAGTCAAGCCTGTCTCCCGCCTCCTGGGCCAGGCTGGCTCCCTTACCATGAAAACGTGGAGTATCTACCAACTTCAGCCCATAGAGTCTAGCAAGGTGGACACACGGTGACCCTGCCTTGTCCTGTACAGTCTCCTTTCACTTTCACACACATCTCCTGCATCTGCACAGCCTGGTGGAGCAGTTGTTACTGGAGCGATCTGGAGGCTAAAGGTAACAAGGAAGCTAAACACAAGAGTGGCTGACAAATGTAATCTTTTTGTTTTTTTTGGTACTAAGAATCGAACTCGCGTCCTTGTGCTTGCGCAGCAGGCAGCGAAGCCACTGAGCTAAATCCCCGGCCCAACACAAGAGTGGCTGGTTCCTTGACAGGAAGCCCGCAGCTCCTGAGTCTCAAGGCCTCCACACAGTGGTCTTGCTTCAGCTCCAGCTGGCCCTTGGTGCACTTCTGGATTTATTAATGTATCTGTGGGAGAGGATCCTATAATTGGGGGCATTTGCTTTGTGTTCCCATTGCACACTGGCCATTCTCCAGCCACCTGCACTCCAATCACTTGGGGCCCCATTCCAGACCCCTCCACTTTGCATCCCTGGAGGTGAGCTTTGAATTTGCCTGAGCCACGAGCTTTCCAGGGGATGCTCAAGATTCTGCTGGCCGTGGAGCAACGAGGCAGGCTTGCTTTCTAGACGTGTCCATTTCTGGGCCTGGGAGGTGCGCTGTGGGAAGGATATAACTCTGTTCCCTCTGTCTTAGCACTTTCCTTGTCTCTAGGACACAAAACTCAGTACCCAAAACTTAAAGGAGGAGAGGTTTACTTTGGCTCATACTTTCCATCCATGGTCTGCTGGCTCCAAGGTACAAATGATATGGTAGAAGAGTTGCTGTGGAGGAAAGCTGCTCACATCTGCCTGGTCAGGAAGCGGAGAAAGAAGGAGCGAGGGAGGGAGATGCACCCTTTCAGGCCACACCCCCAGTGACCCACCTCCAAACAGGTCCCACCTCCTAACAGCAGGTCAGCCATTGAACTCATCGAAGATGAGTCCTCTGATGAATACAACACCCCCAATCCGATCACCTGCTAGAAACCCCACCTCTGGACACATAAGACCTTTGGGATACACTCAGATCTAAGCCATAACACCCTTCCCATCACCTTTTCTAGGGGATCCCTTTTCCTGTCTATCCTCCCAGCTCATCTCAGAAAGGTTGTAGGTGAGGTGCAGATAGGTGACATTAGGAGAAGAGTTTGCCTTGATTCCAGTCTTTCACTACTGCTCTAGGCATCTTAATATGGTGAGGGTGGTGAATTCTAGGCTTGGCTTAGCTGTAGCTCACTGCCTGGTGTATGGACTTCTCTATGTAGAGGCAGAAGTGAACTCAGCTTCTCAGTCAGTCTCTCCATCCACTGACCCATCTGTCCATCAATCCACCCATCCGTCCACCCACCCACCTCTCCATCCATCTATCCATCCATCTGCCCACCCATCATGCCTAACATGTTCCAGGTGCTTGGGATATAAGAAAAATAAGTCCTTGGCCTGGAGGGAAGTAAATTCAGTTTAGGTAGTAGAAGAAATATAAGAAGTGGAAACAACAGCAATTGATTTCCTATGCATTTGATATGACAATGAATATAAGATGCTAAAAAAGAAACTGTCAAAATTATTTCACATTTCTTAATTCCTTAGAAGGAAATTAAAGCACACACACACACACACACACACACACACACACACACATGCTGCAGGCAAGCTTTGTATAAAGGGCCAAAACCAAATATCATTTATATTATATAGTTCTCAAAAGCACAGTTTCCTGAATTCCCACATGTGTTTTTAGGCAAGTCTGTGGGTCACTCTGCAGTTGGCCTCCTTCTTACCCACAAGTCAGTTTCCAGGTGGTGGATATTGTCGACACCAGTGCATAAATGAGTGTCTTGTACCATTCCTACTACTGATTTTGAGCATTTAACTTTTACATAGGAGTAGAAAACTACATTCAAAAGGTCAGTTTCTAGGAAGATTCTAAGAAGGAGCATCTGAGGTGACCTTTCAGCACTAACCTCTGGTTCTGGATGACCCTTACAGAATAAACTTATGTTCCTTCATAGAAGGTCTTTTTTTTTTTTAGTATTTTCTAATGACTAAAGAATTTAGTCATTATTTTCTAAAAAATCCAGTACAAGAGCATGCATTAACATTGAACTATCACCTGTGCATTGAGAGCTGAGTGGCAGATTTGGGTTAAATAGCAGTTCATGGTTTAAACAGCTCAACCTGTATGCTGTGATTTGGCTCCCATATGGTTGAGGAGGGAAAAATGAAATACAGGTGAGTGGTCTTGCGGGAACTTCCATGGCTCCCACAAGCCAATGGCTGGGCTAAGCTGTCCAGTAGGACTCTGTGGTGAGAGAAATGCCTACTGTGGTCATTGAACACTTGAAGTGTGGACAGTACAGCTGAGACATTGAATACTTAATTGCACACTATTTTAATAAATTTAAGTTTGAATTTAGATAACCACACAAAACCAGTATTGGAGAGCACTAAGATATGGAAGCAAAAAATCAAAATGGCGTTTTCTTCTCCATTTCCTTCTCTTCTCTCTTCCCTTAATTTCCTCCCTGCTGTGCCTCACCTTACCTTTTTCTTCTCCCAACCCCATGACTACTGCATAAAACAAGAAGGTAAAATAGACACTAAAAAGGGTGGTTCCTGAAGAGCTATGGAAGCAACTAGTGCATGAGAAATAAATTCTCTGGTGGAATAGGAATGAGATTGCTGTGAAAAGCCACGCTTCCAAGTTCTTTGAGAAGTGACCTTCCCTCAGTGTGTCCCAATTTCCTTTGAGCTCTGGAATCTCAAAGGATATGAAAGTGGAAGACAGAAACAAATGTCATTCTCCAGTTTTGTTCAGCAGTAGCTGACTAGTCATTATTTCTTGACTGAACAAAGGCATAAGCTCTTCTCCAACCCTAGGGAGTTGCCACCATGGTCCAACTTTATCTACCTCTCTGGAATGTTGGAGGCAATAAATAATTACCACTTGGATTGAGTTGCTAAGCAATTATATACTGGCAGCAATAAATATTATGATGGAAGTTATTGTATTTAATTAACACACTAAAGGGAAGTTGGCCTATGGCTCCTAACTATAGGAGGCTGAATTGTTATATTATTGGAAAAACAAATGCAATTTAAAGTGACAGAATCCATGATCCTACATGGTGAAAATATCACTAAAATATTTTTTTCTCCTTTTAACCTTATAGACAGTATTGATAAGCCAAGTACTTCATTGCCTACCTGGGCCATAGTTCTGCTTGCAGTATCATTTTCATTGCTTTTGATCCTGATCATTGTTTTGATTATAATATTCTGCTGCTGTTGTGTCTCCGAGAAAGAGAAAAAAGGTAATTTTTCCATGTAAATTTATATGTGGTTGTGAACTTTGGGTACAAGCAGCTGAAGTTTTGGTGCTCATCAACTCTTTCAAAAGATATGCCTCACACCTGTTAGAATGACTCTTATCAAAAAGACAGAAGAAGGGCTGGAGATTTAGCTCGGTGGTTTTGTCGCCTGCCTTACAAGCGAAGGGACCTGAGTTCAATCCCTGGTACCAAAAAAAAAATAAAGTCAGAAGACAAGTGTTGAAAAGGGGGTGAAGAAAAGCGAACTCTTGCATGCTGCTGCTAGGAATGTAAATATGTACAGCCATTATGAAAAAACAGTGTGGAGGTTTAAAAAATTTTAAAAAGTTCGAGCTTGCAATCCAGTGATCCACTACTGGATATGTCCAAGGAAAATGAAATCAGTAAGTCAAAGAGACATAAGGACTCCCATGTTCCTTGAAGCATTATCACAATAGCCAAGGAACAGAAACAATCCACGTGGCCATCAACTGATGAATGGGTAAATAAAATGTGAAATATATACGCACATATGGAATAGTGGTCAGCCTTCAAAAGTGGGGAAACTCAGTCAATTGGGACAACGCAGATGAACTTAGAAGACAGCACGTGAAGTAAAATAAGCCAGGCACAGAAAGACAGGTATGGCATGGTCTCACCTGTATGTGGAATCCACAAAAGTTGAACTTACTGAAACAGGGTAGAGTGGTGGTGGCCAGGGGTGGCTTGGAGGAGCTGGGGATATGTCGGTCAGATGAGCTTAGGCAGGATGAATAAATCAGCTCTGGAGATTCACCGTAAACCTAGAGTCACAAGGCAGTGTGCATTTTAAGTTGCTGAATGTTCTCACCATAAAGAGTAATTAAATATGTGAAGTGATACAGGTGTTAGATGGATTTAACAATTTCATAATGCATACATATATCAAAACATTGCATTATGCACTATAAATATATGTAATTTTTATTGGTCAGTCATACCTTTATAAAGCTGGGAATATGACAACAAGGACAAAACAAAACTGAAAACAAAGGAGATTCTGGCTTTCCAAGTATTTGAAAATAGCTACAGTCCAATTCATAGAGAAGGAGGGGGCTGTTGGATGGAGAAAGGTGTTCCCTTGGATCTGTTGCATCCTTGCCGGTCATCAAGACACTAATTACTTGGTTTGTGTGTTTCTTTGCAAGGATGAATGACTATTGCAATATGTCATTTAAATGCAACTGTTTTTTCTAGAATCATACCCATTCGAACACATTAGAAGGTTGTTTCTGTCCTGTGCAGTTTTAAGTTTCTTTTTGCAAGTGAATGTTCACGGAGTGGTAGAAAGAAAAACAAGTTTTTCTGTTCATAAAATAGAGTACAAATTAAGTTAATAAAATCAATCACACATTATCTTTGAAAGAGGACTCCTGAACACACCAAACTTGTGAGACCCCTTGCTTGGGGTCAGGATCAGAGTGGGCTGGTCATAGAGTGTGGCAGTTCATGACTTCAAAGTCAAGGATGCTTTGTCATCTGGATGGCTCAGAACTTTCTAAGTGCTGGACACATGTCTATCTTTATCTTTCTCTCATCGACTTCTATTTGAGTATTTTCCAGTTAATTATTTTTAAGAGTGGAGGTTTGATGTTTGAGTATGTCAAGTGGCTTGCATTTTTAACTTATTAGCTTAACTGCCATCCAATGAAGACTCTGTGTGTGTGTGTGTGTGTGTGTGTGCGTGCACACCCACACCAGGCATGATGCTAACTCTTTTATATGGAGTCTCTCTCTTAGTGAGACATTCTAGGTAAACCATATGGTCTAGCCTTAACTAGGATGATGGTCTAGCCTTACCATGGATTTGGTTTGGCCTTGGGGGTTAATTCTGTGGTACAGCTTTATTCTTTGGGAAGTGGAAGTCAAAAAGCAGTCAACTCCTATTGATCTAGATTAGCTGGGTGTTTGCTTTTACCTGGGAATTACCCTGCATACCACAGATGGGTTACTCGGGTGAAATGCACTGGGTTTCAGTGAAAGCTACTGAAATAACTTCGGTTTCAACTGAGAAGTTGACTGGATTGTTCAATGCCTGTGGGTAGTTATTTTCAACATCAGCTCTTGTGGAACAGTTGGAGGAGTCTGGTTGCCTGGACTTTTTGCTGCCCTGAGGCTTTGGTCTGCTCTAAACTAGCTTTGAAGGTGGTCACTTAATGGCTGTTGGCCCACACAGGTACTGGATGGGATGATTTTCAGTTTTCTAATCCACAACATGGGAAAAATAATTATCTTGTAGATTGATTGTGAGAATTAAATGAATTAACTTATTAAAAATTTCTGTAATCTGTCCTCAATTTTATACTTTAACTTTGAGATGAAGAGCCCATGGAAAGGTGAGCTGTACTCTCCCCTTTGTTTGGAGCAGGTCCAGGCGAGGGGATGAACAAGGAGGGACCTGCCATGACCCACTTAGAATGCCCACCCTGCACCACCAGGCGTGGCTCATGGTGGAAATTACATGGCACCTTAACATAAACACAAGGACCCATAGAGCTCTGGGTTTTCCCATGATGATTATTTTAGTGCTTAAAATATGAAGCATATTTGTTTTAAAAAGTGTTTTCTACTGCTCTCCTGGTCCCTGGAGAATTCTTTATGTGCCAACTGGTCAATTGAGGAATGGGCAAAAATGGCTGAGGGTATTGCTCAGCCTGGCTTGGGGACCTTGGGATGGCAATGGGCAGAGGAAGGGACTTAAAGGAGGGAAGTTTACTTTGGCTCATGGTTTCAGAGGTTTCAGTCCATGGTTGGCTGGCTCCATTATTGTGGCCTCAGGGGAGGCAGAACATCATGGCAGAAGAGTGTGGGAAAGGAAGGTTTCTCACTTCATGCCAACCAGAGAGAAGAAAGAAAAGGACACCAAAAGGAAGGACTGGGGACCAGATAGAGTCCCCAAGGTCTGTGCCATGTGAGCCACTCTCCTCAACTAGGCCCCACCTATTTCTGTCACCTCCCAATAATGCCATTGAATTACAATCTTATCAATGGATTAATGCACTGATGGAGTTAGAACCCTCACGATCCAGTCTCCTTTCAAAAGGGGACCAAGTCCTTTGGACACATGAGACTTTGGGGAACCTTTTAAATCTAAGCCATCATGTGGAGATTTGGTCTTATGTCCTGGTACTCCCCATCTTCAAATTCTAGACTACTAGTCTAAAACTCCACAATTAGAAACATTAGTAATTTAATGACAGGTTTTTTTTTAGGGGGAGGGGAGTATATAGCACAACTACACGGAGTGATGCTATTGGTATACAGGAAATAAATGAAAATATATCTTAGGCTTAAAGAAATAGGGTAATACTAATATAATAGCATCTAGTCTGTTAAAATACAATGACACCAATACCTACCTCTTGAGTTTTGTGGCAAGTAAATGAGGCCACACTGTGTACAGTTCTGGCAGGCGCCTGCACACAGTGAGACCTGAGTGAATGGCAGCGGTGACTGGTGACACCGAGCACTCCTTGGCAAGTGGAGTCTTAATGAACTTCTAATCAAATTCAGTATGCACCAAGTACTTACTGGGTACCCACCATCTTTCAGGTATTGGCCGCTTAAAAGTACACACAGGGAATAGGGAAAAAATAAGAATCAAGACACGTCATGTACAGGCACAAGCACTCAATGATAAATGTAAACGTATTGTATACCTAAAATGTACCAATAAAAGAATTTAAGCAAAAAAAGTACACATGGAGTCACAAACACTAATGGGAGGTCTGTTATGATCGGGAGTCTGTAGGAGTCCGTGAATGTTATTTTTAGAATCAGTATCCTGATTTTTCTAATGGAATTTTGTTCTTTTTTTTTTTTTTTTTTTGCAGAATCTAGTTATCAAAATGAAATGAGGTAAGTTTGAAGTGACATCACTTTTTGAAAACCAAACCACCAGTACCACCAACATATCCGTGCACGTAACTGTAGGATTTTAGGATTTATGTTGTTCAGAATTAAGTACTGAAGATAGACAACTGTGAAAAACTCATGTGCAGTTCTGGGACTCACAGGGTAGCAATAACAGTAGAACAATATAGGTAAGAGACTCCCTGTGCTGCCCTCTCTGGTCACTTAGGGCGGGTTGGGCTTTCCTAATGTCTGCCATTTGCAGTTCTGTCCACCAGAGGGCACTGTGCACTGTGACTGTACTGCTTTGTGTCAAGGCTGGGGCTGGGGACCCTGGAAGAGGTTTTGCTGGGGTTTTGATGATACAGACAGAGCGAGCTGAGTCAGAGAGATACCCATGATGCACACGGCACTGTTCAGGCAGACAGGTTAGGTGGAGTTTGCTTCCTGTTCTGCCATGGGGGAGGGCAAGGCTGAAGCATTCCCGCCATTCCACTGAGTTTGGCAGCAGCTGTGGGCACTTCGAAGGCAGTGAGTGGAGTCAGGGCTTACTACTGCACTGTAACCAGTGTGAATGTCCGCAGTCCTTCCACAGACACAGGTGCATCAAGGGGCAGTGTTAGGCAGCTTTGGGTATTCTAACAGCCACATCTAACCGTGTGCGTTAGAGAATCTAAATTTTCTAAATGCTGAGGTTTTAAAACACCTTTGGGCTGCATGCAGTACAGTGTCCAAATGTGTAAGCAGTGAGTGACAAAAGGATGAGCGTCTCAGAGGATCACCCAGAAGCCTTTGGGGCCCAGCTCAGGGACAGGAAGGGGAGGGAAGCCCACTCGGGTATGTATCTGGTGTTTCTCTTGATGGTGGTCACCAGCAGTCCCACAGCCTGGAGTCTTTGGTCCACGGTTGTTGGCTGTGCCAATATCTCAGGTTCTGTCTTCTTTTTGTGTGCGTGTTTGTGTGTGTTAAGGTATTTCAAAGCTCAGTACAGCAATCAAAGCTATTTAGGGTAGCAGGTTGAGAGTAACAACAGCGACAGTGTAATGATGACGGTAGCCACAATGACTGCTAACACACTGTGTACTGAGGACTTGCTCTGTAGAGGCGTTTAATCTTATTTAATTCTTATAACCATTTTATAAAGCCATTTTTCCAGGTTGGATTTGAGAACACTGAGATACAGGGAGGTTAAATACTCCCTTGGGCCGGGGATTTAGCTCAGTGGTGCCGGTGCCTGCCTGGCAAGCACAAGGTAGGTCCTGAGTTCAATCCCAGGTACCAAAAAAAATAAATAAATAAAACAACCTCCTGGCGTTTCCCTGTGGACAGTGAAGGTCAGAATGTTGCCTGTTGCAGGCCTGATGCAGGGCGGGGGCCCCTTGTCAGTGCACAGCTCTGGCACCAGACCCCGCTGTCTGTGCCTGGGGGAGACGGGGAGGCTCACAGGCTGACCACGGGCAGCACCTTTTCCCTTCCCGTGTGTCCGCAGAACTGACGCTGGCCAACACAGACATCGCTCGCGTTAAAATAGCTTACGTGTTTCTCTTACAGAATCAGTGCATGTTTATTATGGAAAAAATTAAGCACAAAGTTAAGAAGTAGGACTAAAATTGTCCACAGTTTTACTGTCCAGAAGTAATGTAGGTAGTTCATAAGTGAAGGTTCTTTCCAGCCAGTCTTGGCACATTTCTGGGATTGTTTGCCCAGAATAAATTCCTAGAAGGTTGCAGAATACTTTTAATATTTAGAAATCTTAGAATATTTTTAATCTTCCGGATGCCCATGGACAAATTTCCTTCCCCTAGGAAGCAGCAACAAGCTTTGTTCCATTTCAGGTGTTGGCACACTTGGTCTATAAAGGGCTACATGGTAAATACTTTTGGTTTTGTCAGCCAGGTGTAATGTCACACACCTGTAGTCCCTCTGGTGGGCTGAGGCAGGAGGATCGCTAGCTCAAGCTCAGGCTGGGAGTGACTTAGTGAAGGCTGGGGGAAAGGGCTGGGGATGTAGCTAAGTGCCAAGGCCTTACGTTCAATCCCCAGTACCAGAAAAAAACAAAACAAAACAAAAAGAATGCTTCACATGTAACCACGCAGACCTGGTCCCCCTCACTGACTAACACTCGACTTTGGAAAATGCTCACATTCTAGGAAATCTGCAAATGTGAAGACGAACACAGGAGCTCATGAGGCGGAGCCAAACAGTGGGAATGAAAACTATGGCTATAGCTCAGATGAGCTGATGAGTGCAGGTGAGCAGCAGGCCGGCCGGGAGAGGACCAGGAGGGAATGTGCAGGAGTCAGGCTGGCTGCCCAGATGCCAGCTCCGTAGGGAACATTACTCGGCATCGGTGGGAATCACTCTTTGGGTCAATTTTAAAAGGAGACATTCTAGTGCCGGGGATTTGGCTCAGTGGTGCTGCCCCCTGCCTCTCAATTGCAAGGTCCCAAGTTCGATCCCCGATACCAAAATCAAAAACAAAACAGTAAAAAGTAAAAAGGAGACATTCTAGAATTAGGAATACCTAGGAGTAGGTTCACAGTAAAAAAAAAAAAAAAATCCAAGCTTGTCTAAAGTTTCAAATAAAGTCAGTTGGAAATTTTCTGGGTTTTTTCCCCCCTCCCATGCATTTTCTTTAATCACTTCTGCTTTAAAATGTGGGGGGCAGGCAGGTTAACCCCTTAACCTCCTCCAAACCCAAACCCAGTTCCAGTAAAAATGACCCTTGGCGAGAAGTGGGTCTAAGGCACTGCCCACGTCTTGCAGGAGGCTGGAAGGCTAAGGCGACTGTCTCAGTCTTTCTGTAGCTGCCTCGTCTCCCTGTGGAGCCACTGTGAGGTGGGGGTGTGGGGCAGCAGTAGGATTTGCAAAGTCAGTGTGAGGGGCAGGGGACACATTGCTCCTCAGCAGTCTGAGAGGAAACCCCAGCCCCCACATTGCCTGCCCAAGCAAGTTCCAAGGAAAGACTTTTAGCCAATCAACTCTTGGAGAGGGCCTGAGAATTGTTTATTTTTGGTAAGACCGGGACTCTGTTATCAGTAGCCCTGTTCTGATTTTTTTTTTGGTACCGGGGATCGAACTCGGGTCCTTGCGCTTGCGCAGCAGGCGCCGAAACCACTGAGCTAAATCCCCGGCCCTGTTCTGATTTTACCTACGTGGCTTCCCGTATGCACTGCAGATTGTATGCTTTACATTTTAGACAAAATCCCACAAAGCATGTACTGCTTCCTTTCATAATGGGACCACAATTTCTGGCAAAGTTTCTTGTGAATATTTATTCATTAGTATTTTAATCAATTAATCATTATCTTTTTTGTGGTGCTGGGGATTAAAGCCAGGGGCTCCTGCATCCGAGGCCAATGCCTTACGACTGAGCTATATCAACAGTCCTTAGTCAAGTACCTTTTAAAATTTCTTTTTCAGTACTGAGGATTGAACCCGGGGTGCTCTACCTCTGAGCTACATCCCCAGCCCACTATTTTTTAAAAATTTGGAAACAGGGCCTTGCTAAGTTGCCTTGGCAGAACTTGAACTTGTAACCCTCCTTTCCCAGTTTCCCTCTGTGCTAGGATTACAGGCTGTGCCACCACAGCCAGCTTAATCAAGTATCTTGACCAAACCTCAAACCAAAAACCTCTCAAACCAAAAACCAAACCTCTCTGACTCTCCTTTCCCTCAGGTGCCCTGTATTCATTTCTCTGGTCAGCTAATGAAGCCATGGATTCACCTTGGCTTTGGATGAGACTAAGGTGTCAAGAAAGGAATTAATTTTCCCTATTTTTATTTCACTAAAAAATGAGGTTCTAAAATTATATAATCTCAAGGAAAATTTTAAAAAAGCTTATGTATGCTTGTGTTAGCTTTCTGTCACTGTGACAAAATACCTGAGATAAACAACTTATAAAGAGGAAAGGTTTATTTTGGCTCCTGATTTCAGTGGTTCCCATCCAAGACTGATTGGCCTCATTGCTTTTGGGCCTGTGGCAAAGCAAAACATCATGACAGGGAGAGTGTGGTAGAGCAAAGATTCTCACCTCCTGGAGCTAGGAAGCAAAGAGAAACAGGAGGGACAGGGTCTCAATATCCCCTTTGAGGCCACACCCCTAGTGACCTCACCCCCTCTTACTAGACTTTGCCTCTTAAAGGTTCCACCACCTCCCAACAACGCCAAGCTGAGGACTGAGCCTTCAACACATGGGCCTTCGGGAAACATTTTAGATGCACACTATAGCAATGATTAAGGATTATTTTATTCCAGAGTTATTACATAAAAGCAAGCATGTTTCTCTATAAATCATAATTATTAAAACATACTTGGTTTTTATCACTTATTATACTGAAATCATTCTTCCATTGCAGATCACTCTACTCTCCCTCCTAAGTCCAGTGAACGGAGTGTTCCAGCACAGCGTCACAGCAGACCTCCTCAGCAGGTGACACAGACTATTTTTTTCTTTTTACTTTTCTTTTGCTATTTAAAAATCTTTAGCAGGTGGTAGATGACTGCAACACTGTGTGTGTTGCATGTTCAGTGTGGAAGAAGGCCTCAGTTCCTCACCTCCATCTCAGTGGGTCAGCCTGGGGAGGGGGCTGAGACACTGAGTATCTCTTGTCTCTGTGACTCCAGGACCAAGGCTGAGGGGGCATAACTGGCTGGTGCATGTTTGGGGAGGAGGAGGCGGCTTGTCAGGGACCTGCCATCCAAGAATCAAAATCTCGAGCACCCTGTGCCATTTGCATTTCTTCTGCTGAGCCAGATTCTCCTGGGACTTGAGTTAGCTGTGCTCTCCTGGTTCCCTGGCACCCACCCGGGGCATGGCTGCCCTTGGCCCTTGGGCACTGTGACTTAGGGAAGGATGCTGGTGCTGGGTCTGAGAAGCATGCAGAGAGAGTAGGGCTTGCGGTTCAAGGGTTCAAGGGAGGTCTGTGACCCCAGGCTTGAGAGCCTGAAAGATTCTACTGGGATGAAAATTTCTGGGGAAAAAGAGGAGGAGGAGTCCCTGATGACTTAGGGTTATAGCCAGAACTGCCGCGGGGCTGGGGTTGCCACTGACTGAAATGGGGAACCTTGTGGGCCGAGTGGATTTGGGGAAACAGCAGGCATAGGACGTGCAGCTTGTAGATTTTGAGGTGTCCTAGATGTCCATATGGGGACATGCGTGTGCAGCTGGATGCTCGGGTCTGCAGTTCTGGAGAGGCATGTGCTGTGGATCTAGGTTGTCAAGCAGTGTGTTGATGGGCCTGGCCCGTAAACAGTCACTGGGGAACCTCAAGAACATACAGTGTTAATTTCTGATATGGAGCCATCCCTGGTTATCATACATAAATGAACTAGAGATAATAAGCAGAAAACAAGATTTCTTGTATCCAAAATCCTATCAGACAAAACAAACATAACCAGCACCCTTCTCTGGCCTGTACAGATGCAGCCTCAGATGAGAAGTATTTGAGGACCACTCTGCAACAGGGTCCCCAGTAAGCTCGGGTGCTCCTTTTAGCTCGAGGGAGCGCCTCGTGGGCTGGATTTCTGAGGCGGCCTGGATCAGATGGCCCTGGGTTTTCTGGACAGGAGGGGCCTGCAGCAGCAGTGCCCAGCGTGTGCCTTGGAGCCCTGATCATTCTTTCTTGCTATACCTACACTCTCATTTCCACACAGCTTCAGGCTGCCATACTCCTCCTGCAGTTGGGATGCAGCTCGCACGTGCATCCTGCCAGTGACGGGTGCCTTTCTGGCCCCCAGGGAGGACGGGGAAGCTGTGGCCGAGGCTCACTCAGGTGGTAGGTGGACCTCAGCAATTCGTCAGTGGTGACAGAGGAGGCCAGGAGGGAAGGCCTGTGGGTAGATGGTGCACAGAAAAAGGTGGGAGATTCCTGGGCACAGGCATCTTCTTTCTTCTGGAGCTGGGAGAGGCGACTGAGACATTGGTAGGTTTCCTTTAGAAGCACAGGTGACTAAGAGGCGGAGTTGAAGCGGAGGGATGGTCAGTCTGGGAGGGCTGTTGCTTGTCAAGGTCCCATGCCTGGGCCTGGAGGGCTCTCCACCACCTGGCACCAAACACAAACGGACCAAGAGCCAGATTCAGCCGGCTGCTGGTACCCAAGCCTTTCTGCGGTTACCTTTCTGGCAAGTGTTGCCACTACAGTAACCCAGGTGTTGGTCTGATAGTCCCCTCCAAAATGCATCCCGTACAAATGAGGAAAGGAACCTCGGTGTATTCGAAAACAGCTGAGGATGACATTGCAGAGCTCTCAGTGGATCCCTCGTAATGCTGGAAATGCTGTTTTGAAAACACACAGGGAGAGAAATGTAAGTTTTCCACTACTGAAACCTGTCACTAGTGAAATAATCTACTGGTTGAGGAAGAAGAGCAGCCATCGAGCTGCTGAGTCCTGAGGATGGCAACACACACTTGTGCCCCATCTTAGTCACCGTCTCTATCTGATGCCCACAACTTATAGGAGGAGGGGTTTATTTGGCTCACAGTTCTTAGAGGTTTCAGTCCATAGTCGGCTGGGTCCCAGGCAGGGTGGCCTGGCAGAGGGGCAGAGGAGAGCTGTCCCTGGCATGGCAGACAGGAAGCAGAGAGCAAGATCACGAGGGGGTGGGGGAGGCAGAGAGGACCTTCCAGGCCACGCCCCAGAGACCCCCTCCTCCAACCAGCCCTCCCCTCCCAACATCACACTTAGCTGTAAACTCAGCTGTGGACAAATCTGTTGGTGAGTATCACGCGCCCGTGATGCAGTCATCTCCCCAAGTGCTGCTCTTGAGGCCATGAGGCTTTGGGAGACACCTAGATCAAAGCCATGTCCAATTCCCTGAACATTTGCAAGACCTCAAGAGAGCTGTGGGTCCGCAGAGTCAAGGTCCTTAACCAAATCAAGGCCCCGGAACAAGGGGCTGACTTTGTCTGGGCTGGAACCTGGGGAAGGCTATGGAGCAGCTGGATCTTTCTAATCATGGTGGGGGACTCAAGGACCAGCATAAGGGAGGACCTCTGACCAGAGGGCCCCTTTGCAGGCAGGGGTGCAGCCCTGGCTCCAGGTGACCATGTGGAGAACCCGGCTGCAGAAGGCACCATGGGCTCTGCCTGCTGAGAGACTTGGAGGAGCAGAAGAGCCCGATGTCCTTGTTCCAAAGATCTCCATGTAGCCAGCGGCTGACGTGACCAAGTAACAGCTTGCAGAGGTCAGGGTGATGCTCAACATAGAGGTTCCTTCCTTTCAGAGCTTCCTGCAGGCCAGCCTGGCCACCCTGCCTGGGCTGCGTGGCCGACTTGTTGCTGTGCAGGCTGGGGACCCCAAGCAGAGCTCTTCAGGCTGTTGTAAGGACAGTGAGGTCCGTGCCTTCTTCCTCAGCCCTCCCTGATTCTGCACAGAGTGCTCCATGGAGGCCCAGGAGAGGCAGCTGAGAGGGGTCCTGAGTGCCTCTCATTGGTCCTTCCTGCCTCCTGTCTGCATACCTCAGTGTGACTCGTTTGTCACAGGGCCTGTGCTGCTACAGGTTGTTTCCATGCACACACACCTCCCGAATGCCTCTGGGGCCCAGCGCCGCACCAAGCAGGCCTGACTGCTGGCAGAGAAGTTGTCTTGTCTGAATTTGGGATGGTTGGTGTCAGACTGCACTGTTTTGCAGAAGCCCCCAAGCTTGGGGCTGAAGAGCCTGAGGGTTCGATGGAGCTCCCAGCCCTCAGCCAGCCTGCAGCCAGCATGGCTCCCAGTCTCAGTGCCTCAAGGCTCCTTTGGTCCGTCCAAAGTGTGCACAGGGGCATAGGGAGCTCCTGGGGCTGGAGATCGAATCCAAGGCCTTGCAAGCACTGAAAGGTCCCAGTTCTACTGAGCTACAGCCCAGCCCCTATAAACACCCGCTGTGTGGCTCCCAACTGGCCTGGCATGGTTCTCAGCAGTGCATCACAGAGCTGGCGAGCTTGTTACATGTGGACTGGGGGCTCTTCTGGACTTTTTGGACCAGAATGTCTAGGGGATAGGGTCAAAATCTGGTGTCTTCCCCACATTTCCTGGGTGATCTGCTTGGAGGAGAATATTTTTGCAGACATGGGCATCATCCTTTCTAAGAATACTCTCTGAGTTCTAGGGGTTTTTCTTACAGCTGTGCATTTGGAATTGCTTATGCCTCACATATTTATAGCACTGAGCTTTCTGCAAAGCACAGAAGAATTTGTTATGGGTAGGGAATCTCACGGTCAGTGCCAAATGCAAGGTCTCGGTGCTGAAATACTCCACCATCCACCTGGCAGGTGGATATAAAACCTCCCATGTTTTATATGGGTCCTAGGTGTAGTATGCACAATGTGGGCAAAAGAAATATGGTTCTAGGCTGCAGAGACGCAAGACCACGCACCAAGTGGTAGGAAGGATCAGGAGGAAAAAAGAGCTTGATTTTCACAACTGCTTATTTCTACTACCATGGAGCCCACAGTTAGTTTTGATACTGACATTGTTTTCAAGACAAGAGCTTCTGTGGGTGAAGCAGAATTAGCTCAGGTGTGACAGCAGCTGAAACAGGTGTGCTGTATAAGACTCACTTTGTTGGATTACAAATGAATCCAACTTACGAGTGTTCTCCCAGAACGGAACTTGTTCATAAGTCAGGGACTTACTATACATAAAATTGGAAACTTTTACCAGAAGTTACAATCAGCTAATGGGAAAGGTGAGTTCTTATTTTGATATGTAGCCATGGTGTTTGCAAATGTTTTGTGTCTTGATGAATATTTAAAACACATAAACACCCTTCCCTCTCTTTCCGTGTCCTCACTCAGTCTTTCTGGCTGTTTTAGAAGACTGTGTCTCTTTCTCTATTAGCTGTAGAGGGTGAGGTTACAAATGTTTCAAAACCTGCATCGAGCCCCGTACTTACCTTGCACCGTGCTAGGATAAACAGAAATAAGCTCGTGGTAAATTTAGAAAGCAGCTGTACATTTGTGCACCCTAGCAGTGCAAGAAAAGCTAAAGACAGCCCAGCTTGGCTGCAGGTTCCCAGCAGAAGCCGGAAGCAGCCTCATTTGCTGCCAGGCTCCCCCTGCTGTCCGGTCAGTTCATTCCAGCTGGATCAGGTGACTCTGTCTCCAGGACTCCCACACATCCACTGCAAGGCAAATCCTTCCTGGCTGGGTATGTCATTTGAGATGGTAAAAGAGGCCACTATGCCTTGGAGTCCGAGCTAGCATCGTCCTAGGGGCTGTCAGGAGAAACAGGTGGCTACACATTTTCATAGGGCACCTTTTAGACAGGCATTGGCCTTTCTGGAACATTCCACGATTTGTTCATCAGAAATATTTCTGAATGTGGACGGTAGACGTGGGCTCCTTCCTGACAGCACTCAGCATCACACTGTCCCAGGAGATGGATGGGGAACCTATTTTGAGTCAGTTCTTCAATCTTTCCATCTTCTCTTTTAGAAGGAATGCCTGGTATGTGAAGAAGCTTAGAGTTATTTTCTATTTTCATAGAAACTATCTGGTAAAACAAGAACTAAAAAGGATCAAGATGTGATACATATGTATTGGTACCCCATGATGCATATATTCATTGTGTACTGCAAACATATACTAATAAAAAAACCAAGAAAACAAGGAGGATTGAAAGATTAAACTTAAACCAGATTCACTTAAACCAGTGAATCTTTGCATTTGCAATTTGTCTCCATGGGGGGAACTGTGGGGTCTTGGAATCGGATTGCTGTTTGGGCCTTGGACTTGGGGAAGACCTAGAGTGTGGGTTGTTGAAAATGGTGAAGTAAAGGAAGGACGCGTTTAGCATTTTCCCCTCTCTGCTCCCTAATTTTTTCTTCTCTGATGAGAGAGTCTTCTCAAGTGCACATTTTACAATGAGCCCAACCAATTAAATTGATGCTTTTCTCTTTGTTTCCAGGAAGCAGAGAAACATCGGTCCAACCCAGCAAGTCGTCCACAGGTTTCTTTTAACATTGCCAGTCCTCAGAAGGTCAGGAATGTGACTTTGGTATAGTGAAGACTCACTCCACTGCCAAATCACACTGTGATGACTGTGTCATTCCGCTGTGTCCTGGGCCTGGCGGATAGCTCTATCCACGTTCCTGATTGGCCACGTCGGAGTCCCTGGAACTGACACCGCATAGCAACAGGGAATCACTTTCCTCAGATTCCAAGTTGAATTTGACCTTCAAAATGTGTCATGTTTTAGTGAATTTCTTAAAGTAAAACCTGCTAACTTATCATGATGATGTTTTTCATCACCCAACACTCCTGCTTGCTAATTCAATAAATGGTAGAAAAGCCTATATTTGGCCACGGCTTGTCAAACATTTTTATTTTCCTAAACATATTAATATTTATGTGTATTTATAAGGTAGGGGCATGATTGCGTATATCAGTCAAGTAAGAGGATAAAATTTAGGATCAATCAGAACTCTAAAATTCACTGGCAAATTGGAGCTCAATGTGTTAAAAATAAGATGTAATTTAACACTCGGAGCACATTTCTAAATATCTCACGATTGGTATCCACAGGAAGACCATTGGGTCATTTCCATCTGCTCCTGTATCATGGCTGCTCTCATCTTGTCCAGTGAGTCAGATGTTGGTTCTGCCTGGTATGGGGGTGAAGTTCACTGACTACAGACATTGTAAAGAAACTGGAAATGGAAAAGGCGTCCTTTAATAAACAAAAATGAAAACACCAAAAATGTGCATTGCCTTTCTAACCCTTTACTAACCAGATAGTAGTTTACAGAGTTGAGTTGTGGTGTTTAGAAGTGAGTATTTTCCAAGCAGGAAAAAAGGGAGACTTCTGTGAACAGTGACCCCAGTTTCCTGTGCGTCTCTTACTCCTGCACATCTGGTCCATTTAAAGTCAACACGAATGCGGATGCTAAGAATGAAGTCTTTACCTTTTCCAAATTCTGTTCTTCATCTAGATACACTCAGTGAAGTTCACTGGCCACCCCACCCCTTCCTATGGAAGCTTAAGCCAGTGCTGTTACTTGCTAGAGTTCTGAACTGGTTGGCACAGATTTCTGCTCTGGATGGCAATTAGTTGCTGCCCTAAGCCCCACCCTCCATGCTCAACCAGGCTATTGCTAAGTAAAATTTGACTTTTTAAATGTGTTGAGATTTTGGCTATTTCCTTGAAGTTACAAAATAAAAGATGAAATTCATCCTGATGTTTCACATCACTCGTTACCCCTGCTTCCTAATCCAGGAAATGGCAGACAAGTCTTATAGTACCATGATTTATAAAATATTTTTATGATCTTAAATCTCATGGGACCTCCTCCTCTGAACCAAGAACTAACTCAGGAGCTATTTCCTGGCATAACACTGGGTGGGTTTCTGGTTCTGAATGGCCGGTGCCCATACAGTGCCATTCTGATTGACTGGTGTCCATACAGTTCCATTTTGATTGGCTAGTGTCCATACAGTTCCATTCTGATTGACTGGTACTTTATAAAGTATCAGTTCTGGTTGATTAGTGCCTGTACAATGTCTGTTCTGATTAGATGGTGTTCATGTCATTGAAAAATTGTCTTCCACAAAACTAGCCCCTGGTGCCAAAAAGGCTGTGGACTGCTGTCCTGGAGGACAACACCAAATGGGTTTTGTAAGTTTCTCCAATTTTAGACATGCTTATTAAATCACTCTGAAAGTATTTTTTTCACTTATCAAACTGCAGAAATTGTTTCAGTGTCATTGTTGAGATCTCAATATGGTTTGTCCCCCTCTTACGTTTAATCTCCAAAGTCTCATATTAATGGTATTTAGAGGGCAGAAACTTAATAGTAATACAGTGTTCAGACATGGGATTTGGGAAGTGATCAGATTAGGTGAGCCTGTTAGAGCAAAGGCCTCATGACTGAATCCTGGTGACTGTGGGAGGAGAGGGAGAACAGGCAGATGCACACACTTCTGCACCTTGGCCAGAGCTAGTGCCCTGCTCTTTGGACTTCCAGCCTCCAAAATCATGAGGTACATAAACCTGCTTTCTTTATAACACAGGCTCCCATGGGTGTTTTGTTATAGTAACAAAAATCAGACTAATATAGTCACTAATGAACAGGTTCTTTTTGCTGCATCTTATTCCAAGAGTAGTTTCTCAAAGGAATTCTGTGGCTAATTCTATTTCACAAGAGGTAGGGGGGTTATTTGAACAGAATTATCTAAAAATATACCAGAGCCACATAAGACTATTAAATTTAAATCACACAAGCTAGATGAGGCCTTCGTTTTCTCAGTTGCACTAGCCACATTTGCAAGGCTTGGTCTCCGCCTACGACCAGGGGCTGCTGTACTGGACAGTGCAGATGACAGGTCTGTATTGTTGCAGAAAGGTCTTTGGACAGTGCTGAGTAGAGTCAGCTACTTGAGAATGACTCTGGAGTCTCATCAAAGGGCCCTTCCCTACAAACAGCAAGCCGTGTTTTCTTCAGCATCAGGTCTATACTCGGCCAGTTTCTATTTAGGGATCCTGCAAACCCCGAGGCAGCTCTCAACTGGAAATAGTGTCTTGCTGAAGTGGCACACTCATCTCTCACTCTGCAATGCAGAGAGCTGAGGCCAGCCCAGCAGGGCGGGGTGAGGGTCCATCATGGCAGAGCACTGTCTCAGAGCTGTTTCATGGTCAAGGTGGATGAGGGGCTCTGCTTCTGCATGGTTGAGGAGGCTGCAAATTTACTTAAACAAATGTACCTTAACGTCATGTCTCAAATTCCTGGCCAGGGACACTGTCCTCGCCCATTGCTCCTGAGGGCCTTTGACCTAGCCTAGTCTGTCAGATTCCAAGTCCTCCCCATGACACTCTTCCATAGTTTACTCAGAGTAGGACCCAAGTGGCAATGTGAATACCCCAAAGATAATTGAGGGCGTGGACAGCACTTCCTCTACTCTGTGTGGTCCTGACCTTAGAAAACTGCAACAGGCACTAAAGTGGGGTTGCATATTCATGAGAGTTGAGGACATAAAAGGCGAATGGCTACTGTGGAGCATACATGAGATGCTACACAAGTATCTGAACCTTGGCATTTAAATGCTTGTGATGCCATTAGGGATGAACATGCAACCTGCGTAAAGTAGAAAATCATGCTCTGGAGAGTTAGCATTCTCTTGGTCAGATCTGTGTCATCCTGGCTTGTACTGCCTCATCCAGTTTGCTCCACACCCCACCTTCTCATCGCAATGACCGCAGCAGCTTGCTGGTTAATGCCAGCCTCCTTTGCGTTCCCCCTCTGGCCTCCAGAGGTGCAGCCGCCTGCTCTTGTGCTCTCAGGCATGGCTCAGAAGTCCTGCTGGTTCCCCTGCCTGTCCCCAGGTCTCCATCCTGCTTAGTCTTCAGGGGAGCTGAAGGGCGAGGGTCCATCTTCTGGAGCTGCTTCAGAAAGGCTGGGGGCAGCTGGGCCTGCCTATTGGAGGGACACAAATCCCTGGTTGCCTGGTCTTGAGGACCCAGTGGCTGGCTCTGACTTTCAGTGCCAATGGCAGGTGTGGCTTGGAGCCAGGCATGGCTATCAAGTTCATGTGAACTGCTGCAGTCTGGAAGAGACAACTCAACAAATCAGACAAGCAAGGGCCAAACATGAGGAGCAAAATGGTGCGCAGTGGGCCTAGGAGAGGTAGGAACCAAGTGAGACTGGGCAAGGTGGCTCTCCCGCTGTCTGCATGGCACCTCCTCTAATTCTATGCTGTCTCATTCTATGCTCTATCAGTGTGTGAAGTCAGACAGCAGAGTTTGGGACACTCTGAAATGCAAGATGGGACTTGGAACAATGACCCTGCCCTTGAATAGGGGCGAGTGAGGGTCACAGCCCATGTGTCCTGTAGGTGACAGCTCCCATCTCAGAATATTGCTCAGGATGTCCTCCTTCTGCTGAGCGGCAACAGGCAGTGGTCATGAACTTTTACATAGAAAATACAAAGCAGAGCTAAGAACAAAGAAGAGCCAGGTTTTTTGCTGTTATAATAGCTCTGAACCAATGAATATAATCTTTTTATAATAATATCAGTTTTCTTCAAAATTATTTAAAGAAGAAACAATGTGTTTGAAAAATAAGTTTATTTTGCCAGAATGCTGTTAACACTGCTTGTTAGAGTCCTTTCATGGCCTGTTCACAGGTGCTTTAGAGAACAATCAAAACTGGATGACAAAAGACTCAGAGCAGCTATGGCTAAAGCTCTGAGGAAAGTTTAGCAAGTAACAAAACAACCTGCTTTCCAATGTGTACAGATTTTAGGGTTAATAGATACAACTGACAGCATGATATCAGGTCTATTACACTTTAAAAAGTACATTTGGCCTTCCATTTTATTGTAAAGATAACAACTTTAAAATGTAATTTATAAATAATAAGTTACTTTTATCCAATGATGAAATTTTAATGACATAAATCCACATCAAATTTTATCTTTGAACAGTAATGGCTTTTGTTTTACAGTGCTGGCTACTGAACCTAAGGTCTTGTGAATGCTTGGGAAGTGCTCTGTCATCAAGCTGCATCCTGACCAGGAATAGTGAAATGTTTTATAAATAAAGTAGAATGTACTGTCCACAGATGTGCTTCTTAGATGCCCAGTGCCTAATCTTTTATTATTACAGTGGCACTGCTTGCAGTGCTAAGTGCTTGGGCATGTGTAACTGTTTTTGCTCAAAGAGGATTGTCACGATAGAACCCGGAGCACAGGAGCACAAAACTGTGGACATGTGTCAGTACCAACACCATTGAGCATGGCAGGTGTTCCCCTAAGCTCTGCAGTGTAGAAGACCTGATTACTTGTGGAGCACAGACACATTTAACATGCAGAGAACCAGCAGGATTTAGGATCATAGCGACACAGGGTCCTTCATATACCAACTGAGCTTTTACCTGCAAAGTGAAATTTCAAGGCTAACAATACTGACAAAGATCAAAGGATGGCTGTAGGGCTCTTCCACACTTAGGAAATAGTGCATTTAATCACCACAGGTGCCTAGTTACCCGACGTGTGATTGCAGCTCATCAGTACAATAACAGAGCCAACAGATGAAGGTCAGGTTTTAATGGCAGCACCAGTCAAATCGTGGGGCTTCTTGCATCCGAGTGATACTGAGAACAAACAGCACAGATGCTGAGTTTTTTTGATCATCTTATATGTTTCAAGTGCGTATGTAAGGCATATTGCATAAGAGACAACACATATTCAGTACCTTGCATGCACTCAATTTCCACACCTTTAATTCAATCTACCCAGCAATTAGTCAAAAATTTTCCTTTTCATTCCCTAGTATTAATGTCAAAGAACCTATGCAGAGATATGAGTGGAGAGTTTTACCACAAGGTATAATGAACAGTCCAACTTTGTGACAATATATAGGACAGGCATTACAGAGAGACATACCTAATGTCTTATATAATTTATTACATGGATGATATACTCTTGGCTGACAACTCCAAGTCTTTTGTGTATGATTTGTTTACTCTCTTTCTATTTTTTTTTTTTTTTTTTCTTTTGGTACCGGAGATGGAACTCAGGTCCTTGCATTTGCAGGGCAGGCGGCGGAACACCTGAACTAAATCCCTGGCCCTATGATTTGTTTTCTCTAACAAAAAGGGATCTTAAAAGGTTTGACTTGTGTATAGCTCCAGACAAGGTTCAGCTTTCTAGTCCTTATTATTATTTAGGAAACTTATTAATGGAAAGAACCATTAAGCCTCAAAAA